AAATATATGTTTATTAAATAAAGTCTAATGTTACAACTAATCAGGGATCCCTATAAAACAAAAGAATTAATAAATATATTTTTTATTTTGTTAGTTTTATTTTGAAATGGAAAAAACAAGAATGAACCATACACGAAAACGAAATCTATTAAAAAAATTCTTTAGGATTGAGAAAGCTGGGTTTCAGATTAAGCTAAAATTTATTTTCCTTTTTGAAAACATTTCTGTTTTACAGTCAGAATGTGGGTCAGAAAAGGTAGTTTAATGAATTGCTGGGTTGCATCTCCTGTTTTAGCTGTATATTGTTGATCCACTGTTGCAACAACATTACACAGCACAGAATTTAAGCATTTTGATGCTGAATCAACCGAAAAAAATTAGGCTGTGTTTACTTACTGCCCCCCGTCTGCATTTTGTGACATCAATACTATGTCATCAGAACTCCATCAATTGGCAAAAAATGTTTTGCTCCAAATACCTTTTATTGGTAACAACACATAATACAGAATAATAAGTACTGAAGGTACCAGGTACACACCCTGTAGGTGTAACGTAAAAAGTCACTCCATTCCACACTGTGCCAATACATTTCATCTGTGATGTAGTTTGATACTTACGGTGTAATTGTAATTGGCCACAGTCACTGGTTTTCCATCTCTGTAGTAGGTCTCTGTAAAGTCTGGAGCCAGGAGCTCACTAGGAAAGAAAACCAGAAGAGAAAGACAAAGTGGCAAATGATTAGCTGAAACAAGGAATGTGAGGATTCTGATTCATGGATGCATACAAAGTGAATGTATCTGTAGAGTAGATGTGTACTGATGCAGTTTTGGGATTAAAAGTTGATATATTGGCCTATCACAGTGGTGGGCAATCCTGGTCATGGATGGCCACTATCCTCCGTGTTTTACTAGTTTCCTTGCTCCAACACACCTGACTCAGTGACTGTYTTACCTCTTCAAGTTCTGCATAAGGCTGGTAATCATCTATCTGTTTAGACCAGGTGTTTTGGAGCACGTCCCACTAGCAGGCCCCTGGGAAGACCCAGGACTCACTGGAGGGATTATGTATCCTCTGCACTGAGAACAACTCGGGGTCTCCCAGGACAAGCTGGAAAGTGTCGCTGGGGAGTTTGAGTTTCTATCCTGGACCTGCTGCCTCCGTGACCAAACTAGCGTAAGAAGATGGAAATAAAGATGGAGTGTTTTGGAGCAGAGAAACAAGTCAAACCCACACAATAGTGGCTCTCCAGGACCATGATTGGAAACTGAGGTCTATCATGTCCTTGTGTTGACAAAATTTCAAGGATTTATTAATTAAAAGTCCGCTGCACGTTTGTTTTAAAGAGATCCTCAATAACTTTATAGACAATATAGAAATGACTCAGCCTGAAACTGAAAATGCAGATGAAGGACAACAGACCTTCATGAAAGGAGAACCTCGGTTTAGCCTGCTAGCTTTTGCGCTAGCACCTGTGCTAATATGGGGGCGGCTGTGGCAGAGTGGTTAGGGGAGTTGTCCTGGAACCAGAAGGTCACCAGTTCGATCCCCTGTCCAGCTGTCTCAGTTGTTGTGTCCAGTGGTGGGCACCAGTCTGCTAAAGCACAAATCCGCTAATTGCGGACCTAAATATGTCCTTTGCGCTTTAGCGGTTTTACTAATTGTTATTATTCGTAAGCAGATTTGCACTTTCTAAAATTAAAATGCAGGACCGCTAACAACTAGCTAACTACCAATTATCTCTCTCTCTTGAATATCGGGAAGTATCATTTACAAATAATGTCATCTGACATTACAGTAAAGAAACTCCCTTAAAGAGTTTATTTTCTTAAACAGCAGAGAGGGCTTGCCGTTAGTAACCAAAACCATGACAAAACACAGTACTGCAAAAGAACTCTCTCAAACAAATAAGGCAATAACAGAAAGCTTTATCCTGTGACTAACTGTTCTGCGTTACGGTTCTGAAATTGTATATATATATA